TTGAATCTTCAACTCATGCAATTTGGCGGGTGCAAATCTATATGGTGACATGGAAATCGGTGCCTTGCCAGGCACTAATTCAATGGAGAACTCGATCTCCCGGTGAGGTGGTAAACTAGTAAGATCTTCTGGAAGACATCTGGGTATTCACAAACTACCCTTGGTAACTCAACACGAGCCATGTCACTCTCACTATCCAAGAGAGTTGCAAGAAGGCCACTAAGCTTGCTCCTACTACGAGGGTCAACAACTGGCGACAAGGCTCTATCAACTCAGTTTCCCTGAAAATATAAACAATCACCACCCGAAGTGCACACTGTAACTCTCTGACGGTAACAATCAATCACAACTTGATAAGAACACAACCAGTCCATGCCTAAAATGACATCAAAACTCGACATATCTAGCAACACAAAAACAAACGGAAGTCGACGCCCGGCAACTTCTATTTCACAATCACGACAGCCCCGGTCTAAATCAATTGTACCCCCAACAGGTGACTTTACTCTGAGTGGAGGCACTAACTGTGCTACCTCTAACCCCAATACAGAAGCAAATGTAGTAGATATAAATGAATGAGACGCACCCGTGTCTATCAATACATTAGCCAAAGAATTACACACAACGAAAATACCTCTCATAACTGAGGATTCTGGCAACTGCTCTGGCACGGTAACAACATACACGCGCCCCTGTGGCCCCTGATTAACTTGCCCTCCTCTCGGAGCATAGGCCTGTTATACCGATTGAGCCGAAGTGGCTCCCTGATTAGTTCGTGAAGCCTGAGCTAAATGAGCCTGCTGGTGGCTCTGAGTCTGCTTCGACCCTGATACGCCAGATGCGCCTCCCAACTGAGGGCAAGTTCTCTTCATATGCCTCGGCTGACCACACTGATAACAATTAAATCCCTGGCCTCCATTCTGAGACTGAGACTGACTCTGAGATCAGTTAGGTGTTGGTGGTGGCAACATCAACTGTCCTCCACCTTTCTGTGGGCACGAAAAGGCTTTGTGGCTGGGCTGGCCACACTTGAAACACGTGAAGCCACTAGATGTACTTTTTCCGAGAACCGCACTAGGCAAAGGAAATTTTGACTGCTGTGGTTGTGGCTGGAATGAAAAAGTACCCATGCTCTTCTTATTCTGCTTATAGTCTCCTTGAGACTCTTAGCCCCTAGGCCTCGAACTCCGAAGCCTCTCCTCCTCGGCTTGTACGAAAATCTCAACGTATGCCGTCGACTCTACAAAACGGTCATAGTTCCGAATCATGTTCCCAACAATCTTAAAGAAAATTTTGGTTTTTGACTTTTTCTTGAATTCAATGCAACGGCTCTCTTCCGTTGCCACCAACTCTGGTGCAAACCTAGGTAAACTAGAGAAGACTGCCTCGAACTCGGCCACGGTCATGTCGAGTTGTTTGAGGTCTTTGAACTCTTGCCTCAATCTCTCCCCAGTAGCGGGAGGTAAATATTTATCTTGGAAAGCAACCACAAAGGCTTCCCATGATGGCTCCACCCTACCCTTGGCATACTTCCACCACTGACCCGCATCCCCTTTAAGGTCGTAACTCGCTAGAGTCACCCTCAACTCGCTATCATCTATATGAAGCATCTCAAATGTCTTCACAATTTGTTTGAGCTACTCATCCGCTTTCTTGGGCTCGGGGCCACCATGGAATTCATCTGGTTTGGCCCGTAAAAACTCTCTAGTAAGGAAACTCGTCCTTGACTCCACGGTGTTCTCTCGGGCTTGATTCTCCGCCCTCAACAAGTTTATAGACTCCCTCAAAGCACCCACCATTTCTCGGGCTAGGGCCCCCATTGTGGTTTGACCCGCTTGTCCCACCTGCTCGGCCACATTAGCTTGGCCTGCTTGCTCGGCCATATTAGCTTGGCCGAACCCTTCTTCTTGCACCGGAACCCTATGGACCAGTACCTCATGCACACCTCGGCGTGCCCTACTATGCCTCCCGCCTTTACCACCACGGACTTGACCCCTTTCTAACATCCTAATAAAGGACACAAGAGAAATAATTTAGCACATTAACTCATATGTGCTCGTAACTTGACTCACACATTCGACTATAACAATTCTATATATTTCTCTACCATATACACAATTCAATTTCACTCCACATAAGCACTTAGTCATGTAAACACATACGGATTATACTCTTATGATGAGATTCGTCCCACGAAAAACTAAGAATTCGTAGTAGAATGAGTATTGATCAAGTACCCTTCTAATAAGACCTCAAGGAATTTAACAGGCGCAAACAACATCCCAAAAGTCCAATCCCATACCCATTTAGTCACATAAGCATGTTATCACATCGTCACAAAATGCATACACTTCCTAAGCATGCTAAATGAACCCATTGTGGTTGAACAACCGCTTCCCACGAGCTCCAAGTATTCAAACCCGGTAATTCTGATACCAAGTTGTAACGCCCCAAAGTTCTAACCCAAATGACAATGCAACAATCATGGCTCTCTTAAAGGAAAACCAAATATAAACTCTCATACTTGCATTACATAATAATAATAGTTCCTCGTGCGATATTACATTGATTCAACAAGTAAATAACCAAATAAGCACCCCCAAGGGTTTACAATCTTCCAAGGCTTAAGCCCGGTACACAAAATGGTTATTCAAACCCACACATACATAGCCCTTGGCTTACAAATAGGATCACAACAAATGAGAACTTTAGTACTCTCAGCACACACATTTCCACGCCCTTAATTAGGCGGATTCACCACGTATTTTCCTGCACAAAAATCCGGTATGGTGAGCATAAAGCCCAGTAAGAAATCCTTAACAAAGTATATACATTTTATACAAGCCTCAAGAGATGAATGCACATGCCATGCCATACCTTTTTGAAAATAAAACACATCTTTATCTTTTGAAAACCATCATGTTCAATGATATTATGCAACTTCAACTGTTCAAAATTTATCAATTTAATTAAAGGGGGCGGTAAATACAACTCTGGTAATCCCTAGGTCGGTGTCTGCAAGTAAACTATACGAGTACTACCAATTGTCATTTTTACCGGTATTAACCGGAAGGCTCGACACCTATCCACGCGACTTTCTGGTCTTTCACCAAGGACACTCAAGCCAACTTAAACAATTTCATCTGCACCACCTATCAAGACTTACCACCGTATTTACCCCAAAACCATTTCATCAAAACTTATTTCCCAACATTCTTTTCTCAATGCAAATTTCCAAAGCTTAACATAATCCAATGGATAGAAATGCCAATGTATGCTTAATAATGCAATGCAACGTTACTTCCATATTCAATTGTTCCACACAATATACCATTGTGATCAAAATTCCAATCCTCTTTTCAACACAATTCCACAAGATGAATATATATATATATATATATGCTTTTATATCCAATTCATTCAAGAGAATAATGCAATTCCCACATTTCAAGCAATCTCAACAATTTAGTCAATTCAAGACTAAATCAACATTTTGACAACACCTTCCAAAATAAACAACATTTCTCATTTTTTTCACAAAATTCGTCATTTATATATAAATAAACAATTTTCAAAACATCCATTTATTTTGGTACACAAAATAAATATGATAATATATTCTAAGAATTTTCAACATCTTTCAAAGAAAATACCCAAATTTCTAGGTTTTCTCACCAAAATCATTCATTTCCAAATATTTAGAAGAATCTCCCCAAAATCATCTTTCTTCAATCAATATGGTTCAAAACCTTCAATTGCTAGTTTAAAAGGAAAATAAATTAAACCCTCTTTCAAAATCACTCATCTTCTTGAAATCAACAATCAATTTCTCAATGCTAATTAAAGGATGATTTCGAAAATCATCTAGATCTTGCAAAAACATATATATATATATAACTCTAAGAAAATCCCTACCTCAAGTTTTGAAGAAGAAATGAGATGAAACCCTCAAAATCAACGGTGTTGAAACTCGATCTTCACCGCACACAACGAAGCCCTCGAGATGATAACCAACTTTGGTGAAGAACTTAGGTCTAAATCCTAACAGATTTGGAGAAATCAAAGAGAGAATATGACTTCTAGAGAGAGAAGCTCCCGATCTGGAATTCTGGAAAGTTTTAGAGAGAGAGAGAGAGGACTAAAAAGTGATATGAAATATCAGATTCACGAGCTGATATAACATGGTCCGCTCGAGCGTGGAATGCCCGCTCAAGCGTCAAATACACTAACCTAGTACTTTTGCAGACAGGTCAAACTTCTGAAACCAAACATTCTCCGCTCGAGCGCATAAACGGCCACTCGAGCAGACAAGCAACTTCAAATGCATTTTGCATTTTTGTTTTGGGGGTGCTGCCTCTCAACCCCGCCAAGGCGCTGCCCCCTGGACCCCCGCGAGCTAACCGGGTAGCTCGATCCCGCCAGGGCGATGCCCTTGGACCCACCAAGGGGCGTTGCCCCTGGACCCCCGCGAGCTAACTGGGCAACTCGGCCCCCGACCGGCCCAGTCGAAGTGGCAAAACATGAAAAAATAATCAAAACCGGGATCGCTACAATCACTTATTTAGCAGAAAAATGCTTGAAACTCCTTTTTTTTTTTTAATCCCATAACTTCCTTGAATCTCAACTATTGGTGTATGTATGGAACTCACTCATGTATGTGTGTAATACACATAGGGCTGCAAACGAACTGAGCCGAGCTGAGGTTTGCTGAGCTCGAGCTCGGCTCAGCTCGATTCGATAATTTTTAATATTATTTATATATATTTATATATTATTTAATACATCAATAATATATTTATTATATAATTTAAATAAAGATAAACGAGCCGAACTTGACGAGTCAAGCTTATGCGAGCTCGAACTCGGCTCGTTTATTAAATGAGCCTAATATTAAGCTCGACTCGTTTAATAAACAAGTTGAGCTTAGTCAACCTTTTAACGAGTTAAGCCTTTAACGAGTCAAACCGAGCCGAATTTACTCGTGAACAACTCCATTCATTTGCACCTAGACGGACACCATCAATAATTGAGATCGAAAAAGAATTATGGGTCCAACCACCATGACAATATTCGCCTCCATCCCACCCCCGCCAACCACCATGACAATCTTCTCCCTTCTGCGACAATCCGTGACATTCCAGCGAAGTTGCAACTCCATCTGAACTCTGCTTCAAGGTATGAAGCGCACTCTCTCCTCTATTCAACTCGTTTCTCTCCCCTTTCTTCATACTCAACTCCCGCCCCAATCTGTGAAACCCTAGACCAAAACCCATTCTGTAAACCCCGATTCCTTTCAAAACCCTATTTCCCCTCTGTGAATTTCCTCTTTGTAAACCTTAATTCCTTTTCCCATTTTTTGAAACCCTCATTTCCCTACTGTGAACTCCCTCTTTCACCTTTGTGAACTCTCCTTAGGGTGGATTGGTTTGTAAAACAAGGAAAATTTGATGTGAATAGTTGTTGGTGTTGTTGTTGTTGTTTTTTTTTTTTTTTTAATTTTCTTATGTTTGTTTGAATTGGTGGTTATTTTAGTCATTTAGATGTTAACTCTGTGAACTTGAAATTTGGCTTTCTTATCTATTGAGATTTGTTGCTTTCTAAACTACCCATTTTCCTTTGCAAAATCTGATGTTTTATTTTTTGTAATACGAGAGTGAAATGGTATGAGAGTACAAAGTTTATTATTTTTTTATTGATTTACGCCATGATTTTGGTAGCATAGTCCTAATGCTGTCTATTCCATGGTTTATTGAATTATCTGTGTTTTAAACATTAAATGAAATGAATCAAAAATCTTGAGCAACCAACAGTTAAGTGTTGAGAACTTAAACATGAAGTCTTTCAAATCATGGGTTTGATAGTTTTGAGTTTTGTTTTCTCCCTTTTCTTATGTCAATTGTAAATGATTTTAGGAGCATCTTTTGTCTATGATACATAATTCAACAAATTCCTTGAACAATTTTGGAGGAGCTTACAACCATATTTAGACTAGAAGCCTCAACTACATTCAATCTTTCCATGAAGCAAACTAAGTTGAACAATGAATTAAATTCTGATATGACATACAAAAATTGATGTAACTATTAGAAATATAATTTACCACTTTTGATTTTGTTACTATATATATACGTTTATATAGATTTTAAGTAGCTCTCGACATGTTTGTGTTTGTGTGGACATGTGTCTTTTGCTTCTTTCTTAGTTGTTGAGAACTGGTTAGATATGTTTATTTTCTTATCATAGTAGACACATGTTTGTGTTTTATATTGCTTGCTTGCTTGCTTTTGCCATGATCTTAACTTTCTCGTAATGCAAAAATCATCCATGTTGTGATAAGTTTGGGAGAAATAATAGAGGAATCTAGAAGTGAAACCAAAAAATATGTGCCTTTATGCTAAGATGTATTAGGGCACTAATTTAATATTAAAAAAAACCTTAAAGTTAATATGGGAATTTGGCATTATTATTGCATTATTTATGATGTGCATGATTTGTGGACTTAACTTGTGATTTGAGAGAGCTGACACTAGTTTCCAACTTTGTATTTGATTGATCAAAAGTTTTTTTTTCATTTTCTATAGCTTGTATAGGGACGTCTATTTATGTTTCACATTTTTTTCATTTGTTACTATGTTGTTGCATGATATAGTACTTCTTGTCCATGGTGCTTTTAGGTATTGGTTGGCTATACTAGTCCATTTTTTCAGTCATAGTTGCATATTTTAGGACTAGATGAGAACAATGCGTTAATTCAATATCACTATTCAGACAACCTTTTATGTTTTGATTGGTCCATTTGAGAACCATTTCTAATTGAGACCACTACTCTGTAATGTTATTTTTTTAGTGGTTTTCTTTGGGTCACTTGTGAAATTATATGAGCTTAATGCAAATTAAGTAGTGTTTAAATAATTTTGATGGACATTCGTAGCCATCCTCTGAGGTTTAAGACCCCATAGATCACATTGTGAACTCTTTCCATCGTTAGTTTCACTTGGTTGGGTACTCTGTAATGTTATTTGTTTTAGTGGTTTTCTTTGGGTCACTTGTGAAATTATATGAGCTTAATGCAAATTAAGTAGTGTTTAAATAATTTTGATGGACATTCGTAGCCATCCTCTGAGGTTTAAGACCCCATAGATCACATTGTGAACTCTTTCCATCGTTAGTTTCACTTGGTTGGGTGAGAGTTTCTGCCTGCCTTCCACCGAGTATAAATTTTTTTATAGTTGCTTAACCTGTTGACATACCAGCGACAGGAATTATTGTTTGTGTCACATCTTTGAATTTGAGAGGGGACTTTCCTATTATCTCTCAGAATGGGCATTGAAGTGATGGAGCAAGAGAATGAAACAAAAGACGTGAGTTTCATTGACCAAACTGCCCAGGTTATTTACATTTTCCATTTCTTCTTAAGGTGGTAATTGTTACAATTTCTATGTTCAAGAAGTTGTCATTTTGAGCGGTCAACTGTCCTAGTTAACAATTATGTACATTTTTTTTAATGTTATGATTAAAGGCTTGGGATGTGTATGATGAGGCTTAAGAAACTTGTGCATTCCACATGAACCTTTCAAGAGCCTTTGAGGCACTTTGACCACTTCTAAAACTCAAAAAAATAAAACCTTTGCACCAAATTTCCAGCACATTTCCTAGACAGTAGTCCACTTATAAAACTCATATCCCTTAAGAGTATTTTGAACCAAACCAAACCAAGCCTTAAGTGTATTTTGAGCCACACTATAAAATTTATACAGCACCTAGCCTCATGTGTTATCTTTATTTTGACATAAGATGGGCCACTTTGGACTTAAAATCAAGGGAGAATTTCCTATTTTAATAAACTTGGACAGATTCTGATCCATTGTCATTGGTGGGTTTTTTTATTTTATTTATCAAATATCATTCGAAACACAATGAAATCATGCACGATCAATGGGGTTAGAAACTAGACTCAATATATTATTTTGGGTGGTGTTAGAAATTAGACTCAATATATTATTTTTGTCAAGTTTCATAATTTTTCAATGAAGCAATTGGGAGAAAATGAACTTCAAAGTCAACACCTCAAATATGTTTTTGTCCCAAATGACAAATGTGTATATTTTAGAGTCAGAACCATACTTATTCAAAATTTGACTAGTTGACACCTATGCCATCTAAAAATAGACTCATAATGGAACACTGCCACCAAATTTTATGATTTTTAAATTAGAGACTGGGAGATGAATTTTTAAAGTTAAAGGTTCTGCAGTGACAAGCCTTCTTTCTTTAATCCATTAAATACTTGTCTCCTTGGCTTGAGATTTCCAGAGAAGATTGGCAGAAACTTACCTGGTGTTCACTATATTCAGGATGTTGCCTATGCTGATTCACTGATTTCGTCACTGGTAATTTTTGTTTGTTGTACTTATCATTTATCTATTTATCATCTTTTGGTTGTCAACTTAATTCTATACTCTTCAGGTTAATAATATGGTGAAGCAGCTAATGCTTCTGTTGTAAGACTCTGGAGCCACAGGCATGTTAACTTGTATTTAACAATAACCTAATGGTGAATGCTATGATTTGCTTTTGGAAGTAGCTAGATTTTTGCTTTTTTTTTTGTTGTAAATTAGGAGCTGTAGAGGGGATTTTGTCACACAGTGGTTTTCATTTTCTAGGAGAAAGCACAGAAGGTGGTTGTTGTTGGGGATGGTTACATTCGCATGGAGATTGCTGCTGCTGCTGTTGGTTGGAAACTTGATACAACATTATGTCTGTGTTTCATTATCGTTCTGCTATATTAATATTTGAGATGGTAATTTTTTATTCACCCAAAAAAAGAGATGGTAACTTTTCATTGATCCAATATCTGTAACACTGACTGACAAATTTTTGGCAATTCATACCCTTTTAAATTTATAAGTAGTAAAATTTTATTGTTTCAAGTGGATGCAACGGACACTTAAAATTTGTGATTTTCAATGCCTACTCTTTCTTTCTTTCTTTCTTTCTTTCCTTTTTCTTTTTGAGTTTTTGGTTGTACTTCATGGCCCTTCTATTCTGTATTTTAGGTGACCAGCATTAACATTATTGTTTAATAATAGTGTTTTTCTCATGTTTCTAATTTTTTGATGGCGAACGCACCACATCTCCCACTTTGTAATTTTATAAAGACTCTGTTTTCATTACACCATTTACACCCTATCTCATTTATCCTTTCTGAACAGAGCCTTGTCCCAACTGTTTGGAATTGGCTCCATGACTGTACATCATTGTTGTCTTCTAGGGCCACATGCTTTATGAAGTCATAAGTCAAGATTAACTTGTATCAATTTCACTATCCACTTCGAAGCTTTGTCTTTTTTGGTCTGCCCTCTGTCTTGGCAGCAATTGAAGTTAATCACATTGATTTGTCTTGCTGCAACTGCTCATTGTCTCTGTGCACCTGCTGCCAGATGAATTTACTTAATTTTGTTGATGTTAAAACTTGCATGTATGCTATATAATTTCTCAAGTTGTGATATGATCTTATCTTGTGAATTGATGATTTTCAACTAACATCTTCTATTGGAAAAAATTAGATCATATTTTTAGAAAATCATCTTCTGTAAAGATTGTTTATTGGGTTAAGGTTTTAGAGAAAATGAAATTACCCACATTGACTCCAACTGCACCGCCAACTACATGACTGCGGTCACGCAAGCTAGAGGGAGAGAGGAGAGAGCGCAGGAGGGAGAGAGAGAGAGAAGAGCGAGAGCAGCAAAGGCAGAGACGAAAGGTAGGGCAGCAGAGGAGTGATGAAAGGGAATGCATTGAACATATCATCCTACCCATTGTTGTGACTTAAAGAATATGAGACACCAAAAATCAAGAACAATATGTTATTGGAATTTATGCTTCAAAACCACTCTTGAATTAGTATGTTGTTACATGTTATTTTTTTGATCGGCAAAGAAAGATTATATTCATGAGACAGAGAGGATACAAGATTTGGTTTTTGTGAAACCAAAGGAAAAAAGAAGTGAAAGTGCAATAGTAAAATCCGAAGGTATGACTCTGATTATTTCTTAAGCCTCCCTCTTCTAAATCCCTCATCTTTCTAATTTTTACCTTCTCTTTTCTGTCTCTAGGATTCTATCAGAATTTCGCTTCCACTATCTAAACCGCTAGAGAATTGCCAATAAACTGCCATTTGGAATCATGGTACGTCAAAGTCTTCAAACCGCCACACCACCTGAGAAAAACGGGATGTACTAGGGTGTTCACAACAAAAACTGGCTCCAAAACAGGGGCAACCACAAACACAACCACCTCTAATTCTAAGCTGAATTTAATCTAGTACAGTAACTGTTAGGGAAAATCGATGTGATTCCCACAAGTAAATCAATCAATGGGAATAAAAATTAATGTGGAAAAATTAAATCAGAAGCAACACAAGAATTTTTACGTGGTTCCCTCAATGTAAGGTACGTCAACGGGATCGAAATCCGATTCCACTATCAACCAAAAAAAGTTCCAAACGATTACAAACGAGATACTAATGGTCTCACAAAACCACCCTTAGGTGAATTCCAAATAATCACAAATAAATAAGAGGAAAGACCTCACCAGACAGATGAACCAAAAATAACCAGAGTTGAAGAAGACCCAAAAAAATAAATCCAAATCGGTCAAGAACCTTGGACCAATATTGGCCACCAAAAAGTGAATACTGTGCCACTATGATTCAACAAATTGAATTATCAATGCACTGTCTCCAAAGATTATCAAAAAACTGTGTTGCTTTTTCACCAAAGCCAAACGGCTGTCTTCTCCTTTTTTTTTTCTTTCAGAAAACAAAGCCAAATATATATATATATATATTGAATCTTGGATTTTAAAATCAAACCCTAATTGTTACCAAAATGAATTAGGTCTCCACAAAATTAGATATAATATATAAAAATATATTATAACTAATACCAAACTAAATCAAACTCTTTTAATAAACCAATTGGGTCCCACACTCCAATAAGGAGGTATACCCAACAATTCTCCCCCTACCGACTTAGATGGAGAAATCAACCATACCCGCCAAAGTTCGACACTTTAAATGTTTGTCCCTCGACAAAGTCTTTGTCAACATATCTGAAATATTATCATCTGTGTGAACCTTTTCGAGTTGCAACAATTTCGAATCTAACACATCACGAATCCAATGGTATCTCACATCAATGTGTTTCGATCTCGAATGAAAAGTAGAATTTTTACTCAAGTGAATAGCACTTTGACTATCACAATAAAGCACATACTTTTCTTGCTTCAAACCCAACTCTTGCAAAAATTTCTTCAACCATAACTCTTCTTTGCAAGCTTCCGTAATGGCAATAAATTCAGCTTCTGTAGTTGAGAGAGAAACACATTTTTGTAATTTAGATTGCCATGCCACAGCTCCCCCTGCAAAAGTCATCAAATACCCCGAAGTAGATTTGAACCCCTGTCATTTTAATTATTAAAATTGATAACGTATTCTACTAATTTGCAATTATTTTGAGAAGATCACACTAAATTGCAATTTTTTCAAGTTGTAACAGTCTACGGTGATGCTTTTTAAGGTAAAGTTTGGTTCCACAATTAAAATAGATTGGAATGATTATTTTTTAGCAATGCTTATGTTTCAGGAAAAAAATTTGAGGAAGATGGTTATGAAGATTCTCTACTCCTGAATTAGTTTTTGATATTTTATCATATGTTATGCAATCACATGCACTAAATTACAACCTATCAACCATAGATCACTATAAGACAGCTAAATTTATATTATTTGTTCAAAATTAAAGCATACTTACATTAATGTTTGGTCTAACTATCAAATTAATTTAAATAACTTAACACACTAGATTATTTCTAAATTGCAAAAGACTTGCTCAACTCCAATTTCAATTTGTTTATCATGGTAGAATCTTGACCCACAATTAACATGTCATCAACATAAAGCAAAAGAATAATAAATTTACCATCTGGAAAATTTTTCACAAACACACAATGGTCCGAAGTAGTTTTAGAAAAACCATTATTCATCATGAAAGAGTCAAATTTTTTGTACCATTTTCGCGGGGCTTGCTTGAGGCCATACAAACTTTTCTTCAATTTGCAAACAAATTTCTGTTTCCCTTTCTCCACAAAACCTTCCTGTTGCTCCATGTAAATTTCTTCTTCAAGATCACCATGAAGAAATGCGGTCTTCACATCAAGTTACTCAACTTCAAGGTTCATACTTGCAGCCATGCCAAGTACAACATGAATAGAAGACATCTTTACAACTGGTGAGAAAATTTCATCAAAATCGATACCTTTCTTTTGCCCAAAGCCTTTCACAACAAGACGTGCTTTGTACCTCAGATTCTTGCCATCATTCTTCAATTTGAAGACCCACTTATTTCTCAAAATTTTCCTCCCTTTAGGCAACTTCACTAAATCATAAGTCTGGTTTTCAAGCAAGGAATTCATCTCCTCGTCCATGGCCTTTTTTCAATTACCTTTCTTTGCATGCTCAATTGCTTCTTGGTAGCTCTTAGGCTCCCCTTGATCAGAAATCAACACAAATTCATTGGGAGGATACTTTCTTGAAGGTTGTCGGTCCCTTGTAGATTTTCTTGACTCAAGTTGTGGTGGCGGTTCTTGAGTTGGATGCTCTTCCTCCATTTCTGGCTCAACTTCATTGGGATTAGCATCATCCTCTACATCTTCAATAGGTGGCTGCACATCTCCTCCATTTTCATCATCAACTGAAGATGAAGGAGATGGATCCATGTCAATGAGATCACTAATTTTTGGCTCCGGTTGATCACATTTGTCAAAGTCTTCAATTGTTTGGTCTTCAAGAAACACAACATCACGACTTTGAATGACTTTCTTGTTGACCGGATCCCACAATCTATACCCAAATTCATCACGCCCATAGCCAACAAAAATACATTGTCTTGACTTGCTATCAAGCTTGGACCTCTCATCTTTTGGAATGTGAACAAAGGCTCGGCAACCAAACACTTTCAAGTACTCATAAGATACATCTTTACCGATCCAAACTCTTTCTGGAACATCACCATTCAATGGATAAGAAGGAGACAAATTGATCACGTCAACCGCTGTCTTCAATGCCTCACCCCAAAAGGATCTTGGCAATTTAGCTAGTGAAAGCAAGCACCTTGTTCTTTCCATAATTGTGCGGTTCATCCTCTCGGCAACGCCATTTTGTTGAGGAGTCTTCTTAACTGTCTTTTGGTACCGAATACCTTGGCTGCGACAATATTCATCAAATGGCCCAATGTATTCACCACCATTATCTGATCGGATGCACTTCAATTTCTGCCCTGTTTCTCTTTCAACCATGGCCTGAAAATGCTTAAATACTTCTAGAACTTGATCTTTAGTTTTTAGTAGAAAAGCCCAAACTTTCCTTGAATAATCATCAATGAAAGTAACAAAATAAAGTGCACCACCATGTGTTCTAACTTTTAAAGGACCACAAACATCCGAATGAATCAACTCCAAAACATTTTCTTTTCTAGAAGCAACATTTTTATGAAAGAAACTCTATGTTGTTTACCCGCCAAACAATGAACACAAGTTTTAAGATGTGTACCTTTCAAACCGGGTAGAAGCTCTTTCTTGAACAAAACTTGCAGCCCCTTTTCACTCATGTGGCCAAGCCGCTTGTGCCATAATTCGGTAGAAGTATCATCTTGAAGTGCATTGACAACACCTTTACAAATTTTTCCCTGCATCGAATAAAGTGTATGAGTCTTCTTGCACTTAGCCACCACTAAAGAACCCTTTGTGAGCTTCCATATTCCATCACCAAAATTGTTGTTGAAGCCTTCATCATCTAGCTTCCCAGTAGAGATCAAATTAAGGCGAATGTCGGGAACATGCCTTACATCTTTAAGAAACAACTTGCAGCCCAAATTT